TTTTAAAATTTTTAAATTGAACATAAAAAGCTTTATATAATATTAGCGGTGTAATAAAATATCTGATATTATAAGTTAGATTATATTGAATACATTAAATATTTTTCTATACCTATTTATAACCGAATGAAAAAATACACCCACCCAATCAGCACTACACAAATTTCATATTTTACCAAATAAAAATCAGTTCAATCGAGTAATTAGTGCTTTAGTGTACTCGTATTAATATATATTACTTATTTTATAATACACATATATCAAAATAAGAAATTACACACTCAGATATTATATTTAAAAAAAATATCATGTTTAATGAGTATCCGCTTTTTAGTATAATAAAGTAGTCAATAGAAAATTTGATTTAATGAAAAAATTGTCAATTATTAACTTTTCAAACTTAAAGTTAATATCTGTTAAGCTAGATAAATTCAATGTTTTTGTCAATTTGTAAAATATGTATTTCTTGATTACACGCAAAATTTAAAATATATCTGACGTTTAGATTGATTTATAATGATAAAGCTATCATATTTCAAATCTAATGATAGTAATAGCGTATTGAGACATTATCTTTTTATGTCTTGTTAATTCTTAGAAAATATTAAAATATTTCGAGAAAAAAAATAAGTAATAGCTATTAAAAAAAAAAGTTTTCAGAAGTAATGAAAAGTGTATAGAAATATGTAAAATATATGCACAAACACCAAGCTTCAGCTTTAGAAAGAAAGTAAATAAAATATAACTATGGTTATATTTTTTATCACGTGCACTTTACAGCTACAAAATCACGCATAAGCAGATCGATCCAAAAAACGTAAAATTCATAAAAAAAAAAAAAAGTACAATGCCCTTTTCTAAGGCATAGTGTTGATATTTTTTTTTTTTTGACATATTCAGAAATTATAGTCTTAAGGTTTTAGCTCTCTGATCGTTTTCCATTTATTATTTATAGTTGATCCGCTCAGCATTCAAGCAATCGTATTACAAACGATCGTGTGACACCTATCGAACTATACGAACGTCAATTACATTATATGGTACTCTCGCGATACAGCTGATAAATTATTATATTTACGCACACGCACCCGCACATAAAATAACGTATAATGTTTATTCCCACGGCGGCCGGCCAGTTCTTTGGCTGCAAAAACATGTATAAGATATTCACGGCTCAGCGTGCACTACGAGACCAGAGTTGGGCGAGTACGTGACACGCGTTTTGCTAATGTGTATAATTTTTTAAAAAAATTTTCTGAAATTAATTTTTTTTATTTTTACGTGCCTATTGTCTGACGGTCACGCGGAGCGCGCGCGCGAGCGTGTGTGCGTGCCGTGGAACCCGTCAACGAAGCGACTACAATGCGAAAAACGGATAAAATGAAAAAAAAAAAAAAACGTATTGGCAACCGAACGTCAACTCGTGTGCCGACCGTACGTCGTGTGCTGTGTGCCTGCGTGTGGGTGTGCGGGTGAGCGGGCGTGAGTATGCGTGTGTCGACGACATGACCGTCGTTCCGAGATAACCGACGTCGTGTCTCGTGCAGACGAGGTCTTCTTCCGAGCCGGACTTGTGTCCTGCCGCTGCGCCCAGGTGCTCGGCTCGCGTTGCGTCACGCGGTGCCGTTCATCAATAATGAATGAGCGTCGCCTCTGTACGCACACATACGACGACGATGATGATGATAATAATAATAATGATGATGATGATGATGATAATGATAATGAAAATAACATTAATAATATAATGTCACTAATAATATTGTATGAATCGTCAATGGGTACGGCTCCGTCGTTCGAATACGTCCCTGAACGGCTATGCGCGTACACTGCTGCAGCAGCGACGGAAGTCGAAAGATAATACGAATAGTGTGACACATCTCGCCCGGAAAAAACGAGCTTACTAGAATCATTGCGTATTCGCGACCATTCGCCGACAGACATCGGCGCGCTCCGACTGTAGTCGGCTGTTGACGTAATAGCGTTACGATAATATAATTTTGTATATAGACAACAATGGGCAGATAACATATCTGCCTCCGGACTGACGGAGACGTGCGTGTTGAGTCTAGTTTGTATTGCACTCACTAGCTGCTATTATTGTTGTGATCGAAAAAAATAAAAAAAAAACACCACCATAATGTAATACTACTCGTATACTCCGCGAATAAAATATATTACGACGATAAATTATTATTCTCTCATTCGAACATAATATACGATAAAATATACATACAAAGTATGAGTTTGTAATGCTTGGTTCAAACTGTGTACGTCACGATTGCATTTTTATCAGGGTGTATTTTTTTAGATATTATTTTGGATTCTAAAATCTGGGTCCATATAAATATTAAAACTTACAAATGATAATTTTATAGAATATTCGATTATTACTTCAATTTCAATCACGGCGAGCTTTATTGATAATTTCAGGCTTAAAAATATTTATTTTTTCTTATCATAAATTCATAATTATTTATGCTTTTAAAATTAAATTCAAATTAGGTATTTACTATTTAATTAACTGATTTTACTTTCCATTATATTATGAATAGGTAATATTAAGTATCTCACACTCGAATAGTTAATATTTAAGAAACCTTTTAACCTTTGTGATTTTTGAGATTTAAGATCCAATGTAATGCAATTTTCAAAGAAGTTGATTACATAACTTTATATAACTAATGCATTTTGTTATATTTAGAATTTAAGTATGACAAAGAAGATTAAAACGTGTATAATGGTTTACCACAGGTTATACAGCTGTTTGAAATAAGAATTCAATTTTATATTACGACTTACCTACTTTGCACAATAGTTAAAATTCTTTTTTAAAGTATTAATCAACAAGTAAATATTTTAATACTTATATATACTTTAAATTATATAAAAAAAAAAATAAGAAAAAAGGTATATTATAGGGCAAAGTTGTTAAGAAGACATTACACCCACATATTTTGTTTTCTTCATTTTACAAGTGCGTAACATAGCAAATCTACGCTCAGCAGTTCATGTTTAGTTTTGTTAGCTTTAATATTAGAGTTAATCAACCTACTATGAAACTTAAAAGTAAGAATTTTATCTGTGTTTGTTGGTTTTTATGATTATGGAGTTTTTAAGTGAGTTATAAACATTTTTAAACTGCATTATTTTATAAATGCATAATTTTAATAAAAATAGAATAATTATCATAAAAAATGAATACACATACATTTCTTACCATTAAGTTTCATAATAGATCAATCCACTCTAATATTGAAGCTAACGATGTTAAACGTGAACTCCTAAGCGTAGATTTATTATACAAGACGTATTCAACAAATACAGGTATTGCGTCTTCTTAAGGGTGTATTATAACATAAAGTCATGATAATTCAAATTATTGTTAAAATTCATTAAAAATAAAATAGTAATAATATTAAATAAAAATCTTCAACTGGCTTCATATTTAAAACAACACACATCTAGTCTACTAAATAATACAACTATCAGTAACCAAAATAATATTTGATACAAATATTCATTAACAGCTTTTATTTTTAGAAAATAATATGAATTACACAAGTTAAAAGTTATATTAATTTCACATAAAGTGGCTAATAGATTTTATAACGTATATTCTATATAGTTTGTAGCAAAAATTAAAGAGTGCATAATATGTAGATAATATGATGATATATAGATAATAATATACCAAATACCAATTAACTCTGTGAAATTTTAAACGTAGATAATTATGTGAAATAAAAACAGAAGTTTATTCAAAATCTAACAAAACTACAAAACCATCTTTATTTCAGTAGTAAAAATTGGTTAGGTTCATATTATTTTAATATAATCACTTCGCACATTACGAAACTCAACCACCATTGGCTAAAAAACAAAACACATTAATATTAGATATATATTGTATTATAAACACTTTTGTTCAAATTAATAATCTGATATTTTAAGCTAGGCACGCAGTGACAATAATTGTTGCAATACTTGCGTCAAGTAAAATGTATACATTTACAAACACAGTAAATATGAGTTTAATTTAGTACCAATCAATCCATTAAAGTTCATTGACACATAAAACATTGAGGCATCAACGTGATTTGGAAATTTGACTATCAGAAATACTACCGTGTTCACAGGGCCCGCACATTTTGTTTACGTACCGAGCCTTTTAGTCATATTCCAAACAACGGGTCTTACAAAAATAATCATATTTTTACCGGAAGAGTAGGTACAATAAAATTGTACACGAAGATAATGCTTCGAGAAAATCATTTTGAATATTTCAAACGATATCCATTAGACATCGAGCGCTATATGTATCACCAAATTAAAGCAATAATACTTTCCTCTCGGCGATATTCAATATTTTGATCGAACCTAAGAACCTATAACCCATCATCGTGCGGTTCACAGTATCTATGGACAAACCGTTTTTTTTTCCTCTTCGCGATATCATTGTCACGGGTGTTGTGCCAATAATATTAACCGGACTGGAATATAACACATATCACAATAATAATCGTTTATTTTAATTCGCCGTACCTACGTGCATTTAGGTGACGACTGACGATTCTATACGTCATATCGATGTAATATTATAAGTGCAGTCCGCGCACACGAATTGTTAATGGGTTTCGTGCGGCATTTTGGCAACTGCGGACTCGCCTATCTCGCGCGAACCCGGACACGGCCGATCGTCGGGCGGGCGGCGCATATCAATGCACGCCACAACGATATTATTATTATAATTTTTTAACTATCGCATTATTATTGTGTTGGCGCGGCGACCGTTGAATTCGCGGAAAACGGGCGGCGATGAATTGGTAAATCGCGCGCGCGCCTAATTCAACCCGATTACGCGTCCAGACCACGTATCAGGTGTACCGAGAGGACTCTCGGCGGATACCCCCTCCCTCTTACAACGGCAAATCAACGCCCCCCCGCCGGCCTCTGGCAACCCCGTAGATGACTCCCCGTGGGGCTATATCTACGGGATCGCAATCGGTCACTCGTCCCATTCCATCGACGGTCGCCGAGCAGCCCACTACCCACGCCGCTCTGCCCTACAAGTACGACGCTTCACCTCCCCCTCAACATCGCCCTCACACAAGTCCAGTTCATCGTTTTTGTTCCAAGTTTGCGCGTACACTTTAGATACAATACGAAATGGCTAACCGTTCCACCTCTGTCGCTGCTTTGCTGGCCGTCATCGCCGCCGCCACCGTCTTCCAAGCCACGTCCGCTTACGTGGTGCCCGAAGGTAAGTCTCCTCTAAAACTTTAAATTTTCTGGCGCAATTATCTATTAAGTCACAAATAATATTATAACACTTGCTTTCCTTCAACACTTTCAAGTAGAGAACGTGTTTTTCGATGACGAACAGTACCCAATCTCTTTTATCGCGTGTATTTATAATATTATACGTGTATAATATATGTGTACATATTATACATATACTAAATAAAATCAAAATCGTTTTTTAAATAGAATGTTTTTTTTGAGTGACCCGAATATGGGAATCGTCATCAGCACGAAAATCACAAAAAAATCAGACAGCCGTGCGAGAATAGTCGTTTTAGTAGATTATTTCGTATAGGCATAATGATCATAAGCGGTCTTCGAAAACGTCTCACGTTTTCTTTAGTATTAACGGCTTTAGAATTATCGACCGCGTTAAAGTGATCGGCGGACGTCATACTCTCTTCGTTGTATCTTTGTCATCAATACGAACATTTTGTCGTATCACATTTCGAGAAAAACGCACCGTCGGCTTTTATTTTATCACGTCGGAACGCGGAAAAATCGCGTGAAACGGCTTGCGCTTTACGGTCTATCTTTTTTGCAGTGGTCATGATGAGGATAAAGCGCAACCCAGAGCCTATGCGCTCGTTTTCGTTCAGCGGTTTCAATCCCAACGGGCAGATGTCCGCGTTCACCGGCCTGGCCGAGTATCCGATGTTCGGCGGCAGCTACGGACAGGCCAGTCCGTACAGCTACGGGCCGCAGCCGGCCACGCAAGACCCTTACGGGTCGCCGGCGGCCACTCAGGACTCCTACGGGCCGCCGCCGTCGGGCGTCGCGGGACAGCAGACGCCGGCCGCCGACTCGGCCAACAAACAGCAAGAGTACGGGCCGCCGAAATCGGGCGCATCAGTCGATTCCAAGGAACAGATAAACAACAGCGTTGAACAAGGGGACAACAAAAAACAGTACAGAGGTGAGCGCCGCGCGTGCTGATGGTGATAATAATAATAATAATAATAATAATTCAACGCTGGCCGCGCGTGAAATGTCGTGGAAGTGTAATCGAATCAGACATTTTAATAATTTTCTAGATTAATGGTTAAATGATTTAATTTTTATGCATTTTTTCTATTCGACTAGAAACTTAGTAGAATAGACCTACCTAGTCATTTAATTGAACGGCTGACCGTTTGACTAAATGTCTATTTCGAATCAGGCAAATAATTAAAAATATAAAAATGATGACACGTTTTGTATTATATTTTTAAAAATATAACTATCTTTTATTATTAATAAAATTATTAATTAATATTTTTTAGGTATTATGTATTAATTATTAATACGTAAAATACGTACACGGATTTATGAAATAATAAAAGTTTAAAAATAATATGTTTAACATTGCCTAGTTCAATCAGATCATATTTACAACATAGATAATATTGGTTTTGAGTTTTAGTTTTGCCTGGATTCAATTTTGCATTGTTGATTTTGTATAAAGCTTTATCGTAGTCTTCTTGAGTCCACGTTTTTTTTTTTTTTTTTTATTATGATCATCATAAATTGATCTAATTTTTTTATAAAACAATTGACTGTCTGACATAATCATCATATTATATTTTAAAATTTAAATTAAAACAATAAAAATTTAAAATATATTGAGAAATATGTTAATATGCCGTCACATACACAGTACATACGTGTACACGTACTAAACTAAATTATTTTACAAATCAATCGCATGTTCTGTATCTTTTTCTGTAACGTCATATTTTTGTTGTTAGAATCGTTAAAATTATTGTTTATCCCACAATAATCCATACATATATTAGGTTTTTTTTACAACAACTTATCTATGTTAATTTTCTTAGGTAAAATCAATGGAACTTTTATTATTATTTGATAATAATATATAATAGTTTTACTATCATACTTAATTCGTAATTACCTATACTTATTAGTATACATTAAATAATACATAGTTATTTTTTTATTGTATTATAAAATAATACAAAATATGTAATTTTTATTATTTGCCTGATTCGAAACAGACATTTAGTTAAATGCCTAGAAATTTAATTAAATGACTAAGTATCTGGTAAAATGCCTGATTTGACTATATTCCTATAACACACTATTATATACGACGATAATGTAATGCGTATTATAATGTATATACCTGTGTGATTCGCCGAGCGTGCTTATTTTGTGTTCTTTAACAATGAATTAATTCGAAATCACACGTTCTAATTTTAATTTAGATTATTTAGTATAAAAATAAAGTTTGAGTTGCCATATGATGCTGCTTAAATGATACATAACTATAAACAATTTAAGAACTGAAAATATAATCTTTAAGTTTACTTAAAAATTCCAAAATACAGAACTGGCTAAGTAAATTAGTAAATTACTATATATGTACAATATATCTGACTAAGTTAACGACTTATATATATTATTATATATAAATATATATTGATTGATATTAATATTGTAGCCACGGTGGTTTAAGATGCACGTAACGATTTATTAAATATACTTCATAATATTTATTTTTTATTCACGATCTCCCGACTGAAGAAAATATATATATATCTATTTCAAGTATTCATGTTCTTTTAAATTAACAAAACCCTTGAATTGTTTATGTAAGTATTGAAAATGTAGAATTCTGATTTCCATTAAGAAGGTATTAAAACGTTTTTGTACCTTTTACAATCTTAAAAGGAGAAGGATAATAATAAGAATACATATTTAATATTTAATTATTAGATGGGTGAGAGCTTATGATGACAAACGCCGTATGTCAAACAAAATAGTGTATTTAAAGTAAAATATCAAATATGACAATTTTATCCGATATGTTAATATTATTTTTCTTATTATTGTTCGCCTTAGCATATTGTTGAGGTCATTGCCGTTAGTATACTATAATGTGTACAATGGGTATTTCAATAAGATTATAATATTATCTACTATCTAGACAATATAGCTGTGTACTTATACAAAAACATTATATATTATTATACCATCAACCGTTTTAGTTCTAATTTTAGTGTTATTGTACAGTTCATTTTTTTAATTGAAATGGGTTTTTTTTTTATTAAAGGAATTCATTAAAACTTTATTATGGATTCACTACGTTATTTATATATATATAATATATATATATATATATATTAAACTGTTTTATCGAGAAATATATATTTTCAAGTAATCCATTATCAGTTCAAAATATACATTCATAAGACATATACGAAGAAAAGTTTATTTATTAAAGACAAACAGTAATATACGCAGTTTATTACTTTATCGTTTTGATAGATGAATAGTATATATTTGATTCGTAATATTTTGTAAAAACCATATGAAAGAATCCCGGGGTAAGGATAATTTTTATTACACTAATTTATTTTGAGTCTATTATTAAAACAGTCGTTTAAAAATAGAATTTCTTTTTTCCTTTACGGTATAGTTATACAGTAAGTTTAAAATAATTGAAGCATATTTTAATTAATTAGCGTTTTTTTTTAATTAACTTTATAGTAGGTATGATACATAAGTAGAAATTCAATATGAAAATACTGCACTTAAAGATACTAAAATCATATTATTTTTATTATTAAATTCCAAAACAGATACGGTCTACTTTTTAAAATGTATTATATTATAGTGACATACTTACAGTTTTATTCTTAGAAGACCTCTCTCTATGAACGCTTAAACGGGATTTTCGACAAAATGCCTAAATAAATGTTAAAAGAAATCAAATGTATTATAAACAATTTTTATTGACTATAGTGAAATGTACTAATTATAGCTATACTCTATAACTATTCAAATAATGTTATTATTATAACTATCAAAATACTTTTTTTTTTACAATAATATATAAGTTTTAGTTTCATCGTAGGTAAATCCGTAAATTTGTCAATACCCTAAACTAACCAGGCGTTTATTAAGAGAATAAATAATATGTGAATCGCCACAAATTAATATTGACTTTATGTTATTACTGTAAATATTTACATCCGATATCCGTCAAACAGTTTATAATTATTATTTTGTTGTTCTATAAATTAAGCCTTCGTCACAATATTAAATTATATATAATTCATCTGATTGTTTTTGACTTATTAATTTGACGTTAGTTCTTTGAGGATAAAATTACGTCTATAATAAATAAAAAAAAAAATCAGTTACGCTCAACGGACCTACTTTAAAACTATAATGCCATAATCTGTAGTATAAATGTATAAAATATGTTTTTATAACAATAATAATAAGTTACATTTAATGTGGTGGTTTTTAGGTCGTGATGGTCCGAGCAGCAATGCGGAAGCTTCGTTCAATGCTTGGTTTCCCATAATGTTCGGTGTATTCCCCAACGGTGCAGGTAATGGTAACGGTCAGTCGGGTAGCCCGATAAATCGTGGTAACAACAATCAAGGACAGGGCCAGGGTCAAGACCAAGGTAACTCGTATGGGGGCAACGGTTACGAGAGGTCATCGGGCACGACAGTGATTGCAAACAGCGTGAGCAACGGCAGACACGGCGTGGCCACTAGTCACGCGATCGCTTACGGCAATCCCAGATCATCGCAATAATAAACGCGACAAAACGTTATTATTAGAATTAGAAAGACCATCAATTATCGATTTTATATAAAATTAAAAACCCTTTCTAGTTTTCCACGATATATACGTATATATTATGATTACGATGTTAGATACCGTAAAATAAGTTAACCACATACCTATGTATATTGTATACATACTTACAAACTATTTTCAAATTATAATTTATATATAATATAATATATATTGCTTATAAAAATCGTATGTATTATATTTTTAGCGGTATTTTGTAACAATTTGCACAATAAATCGATTAAATGTGAACATATTACCTATACTCTTAAAATCATCTTTTTTTTTTATTTTTTAGATTTTTCAATAATCTTGTATATTACAAACGTTGTTTAAATCTTAAACAATGCAGTAATAAGACTAACTTGCATGGTATTTTTTTTATTTATCCTCACGAACAACATTATTATTTCCATATATTTCATTAAAATAATCATTGCAATATAAAAATGTATTTTTTATCAAACGAGTATTATACTAAAATATTAATATTGTATTCTGTAGCACCATAAGTTCTTTGGTTTATTATTTATTGTTTGCAATTTTGATGAGGGGAATGAACTATATTTGTATTTAAATGTTTTTACTACTTTTACTTAGATTTTTTAAATAAATAAAATCAATACTTTATAAAATAAAATATCATTATTATAAAAACCTATATAAACGTTTGTCAATGTTAACTAATGAGTTTGTTAACTAATTTACATAACATTTATTATCATGCATAAATATAGAAAATTATGTTCTCATAAGAGTAATTATCATATTTTTATTTTATATCCTATTCTTCTACAGAGAAAGAAAGAAGTATATTTGCTATTATCTTATAAACATTTTTATTTCTGTATTAGGTATATACTGCAATTTTATGAGGGACAAATGAAAATATTTGACCACGGTGATAAGCGAGATTTAGTTTAACTGCACCCCTCAACATATACTTTACACTTTTACTGTTCGTGAACGATTACATTTTACACTAAGTGAATGAGCTTGTTTTGACTAAAAAAATAATAATATACTATAATATACTATTATAAAACAATTTTGTTACCTAACTTTTTATAATAAATTCACGTGAAACACATTTATTAACAAATGTAAAACTTAAAACTAGGAGAGTTATAATTAATTACATTTAATAATGAACTATAGAATATTCATCAGAAAGATAATATTCTAATAATATTAAGTAGTTCATATAAAAATCCTTAACAATAAAAATGTTCAGATAATTTTAAGCATTCTGTTTGTATTGTCTTTTATCTGATATATACTTTCGTATCGAATAAAATAACATTATTTCAATAAAATGATGCCAATGCAATAATTAAGGAACTTAATGTGAAGATTGAAAATAAATGGAATACATAAAAAAAGTACATGGTTATAAATGAGATTTATTTTTTTTTTTATAATAGTTAAATGTCAAAGATCAAACTTGTATTGTCGCTAAGATAATTTAATTCATGTGCAAATTGGAAGCATATTTTCTTTTATACAACTCATGGCATACATAAATGAAAATATAATTCAAAATCACGTTATACAATACTCTTTACTAAAATAAGGTGATTTAAATTGTATAAATATTTGTATATTCTTGTAGACAAGTTTAGAAGTGATAAATATTTATATTGTTATATATTCATACGATCAAGTCTATAACTTTCTGAAGGTGAAAAAAAAATTAAATAAATAAATAAAATATAATTTCTTTTATTTCCTACAGTTAAGCTGCGCTTACTCAAAAGCAACCGATTTCAAAAAACGACTTTTATGTCACACCAACACTTAAGTCCAAGTCAATTCATCATAGCACATAATACTCTCTTTCGTTTTATAAAAGTAGTAATAATAATAATAATAATAATAATAATAAGACGTTTTGATTTTTTCGAGAAAGAAGAAAATAACATTGGCCCAGCAGCATTAAGCACACAAAAGCGACACAAGCCCTTTTAACTTCTGAGATGCTTTTGTCAGGTATCTCTCGGTACGCTAAGCCCCGCGAAAGAAGAAGAAAGTGAGACAGATGTATATACATACATAAAGGTGCTCTTAATAGACAGATCGAGTCCCCTTAAGCTCCGAGACCTTTTTAAATTATGATCTGCCATTGCCGCCGCGGCAGCAGGTATATATATTGAGGAGGAGATGACGCGATGGCGGAGTCACGCGCTTCTAATTATGAATGCGCGGCCGAGAGAACGGGTGGGAAGAAAAACGTCCTGGTGAGAAGAGGATATAGGTGGGAGGAAGTAAAGAAAAGAGACGTGGGTTTAGAGCTTTTGTGATGGAAAACGGCGGAAAATATTAACAAGTAAAAGATTTGAACAGACGATGCACAGGAGAGGCGCTGAAGGGATCAATTATGAAGTAGGATTACTACTATACTAGAGGATGGGGTTGATGATGAAGAATGTCGTTTAAATTTCATTAATGTCAGTCTCCATTTTTATATTATATACATAATAACAATATAATGCAAGTGAACGGAATGAGGGGAAAATACTACAGAAGAGTTTTTTTCTTTCGTACCACACCGTCTGCCTCTCGAGATTCTTCTTGCGCGCAATATAAGAATTTAAGTCAGCCCCAAGCGACAACAACGATTTATTAACGACCGCGGATCTTTATTGGCCATTATAGAAATAAGCCACGTCGCGGTCGTAGCCAGCCAAAAAAATTATTATTTTATTTTTTTTAAGTGAGCGCACTACAATAATGCGACACCCCATACGTTAACTGAGAAAATGAATTTAATATATTTCATTTGTTAAAATATTGATGTCAACAAATAGTTTTTTTTATAGTTTACTAGTGGAGCAAAGAAGTATAAACGATTAAAGTATTTAAAATAAAGTCATCGGTGGAACTCAATTTTATGACTACCTGTGTAATATATTTTTACTAACACGTTATTATTATTAGTATTAAATATAGATGTATTTTTTTTAATTTTTGTTTATGGCTATAAATAACAGGATGGCTTTATACCATAGAATATTATCAAATCAAATAATATATAAAATAATAGCTTACATCTTTTAAAATTAACAAAACGTTTTCATATATTTATTTTTCAAATTCGATTTATCAAAATTCTATGATTATTGAACACTTGTTTATCGAATGTTATGTTATATGTACAAACATTTTATATTGTATGAATTTTATTTATTTGAATATTAACTTTAACACAAATGTTATTAAAATGAACGAAAACTTAGATTACATAAGTTTTTATTTATGAAATTTGTTTGATAACTTATTGTTTCAATATTATTAAACCACAAATATAATTATCCATTATTTTAATTATATTATCGTGATAATACTCTTATCTTCTGAAATAATTTATTTGAGACTAATATTATAATATTATGCGACTTTATCATATTGTATAAAATAAGTATAAAGTAATAAAACTTTTTATTATTAAAAACTACAATTAGGTTGACTTCAGTACGATTAGCTTATAACAAGTTTGTGGCAGAAAATTTATGACATAAATTTGTGAATATTCTGATGAAAAGGTTCTCAAAGGATTCAAAGAATTATACGTCTGAAATAATTTTCATATATAACTTATTTATATTATTATTAGAATCTTTTCGATAATAATTTGATATAACAGGGCTTGAGCTAATGTGCAGTACAACACAAATTCTGCAGTTCTAAAATAAAATGTGCAGTTATAAAACGCTAATTGTGCAGTACCTACTGCTGTTTATTCTAGCACTGTAAAAAAAAAAAAAAACCTAATATACTATATAATTATATTATACCAAAACAATTTGTATTTAAGTTATAATTCATAATAATCAAATATTATAATATTATCATGATAATATGATACTACCATGAACCTATGTGGATTGTAATATGTTTTCTATGATGTGGATTGATCCATAATAATAATAATAAAATGTATATACATGTATATACAAGTTAAGTACACACTGTGATACACTGTAACACTGTAACATAAGTATCATTCAACATAGAGTTAAAGTTAATCGATATTAATTTTGACTTCGTCTTCATGGCTATACTTAATTATATCTGATTTTTTAAGAGATGTATTTGAAATACATAAATAGCTACTAATTTTAAAATATAGTCTGAAATGCAGGCACAGTGCCAATTTTTTTTTTTTTTATAGGTGTTATAATGTTATTATATGTATATTAATTTATAGTGATGAAAATATTTGTTTAGAATCCAGAAATATTAGAACCTATATATTCAAAGTTCAATCAATTTAAATTATTTTTAATCATATTTAAGTGTCTTTACGTATCTATTGTATATTTTCTAGTCACTAAATAACCAATTTAAAATAAAAAATTAGTTAAATAATACAATATACAATTTTTCTACTATTGTATACTTTACTTAGTATCTAAAGTATTATTAATAATTAAATTAGTATATAATACTTTTTTTTTAAATTTAAATATGCAATAATAATAATATCTGTAAGCTATAACAATTACTAGGTATCGCTTTACTCATAATTTAATACAAATCAATACATTTAAATGCATCTGGTAGGTTACTAAGTGTTGTTGGTGTACCCTTAATAGTCTAGTTTTTTTTTTTATTTTTTTACACAAATTCAATACGTCAATTATATAGTTTTTTAGTAAAATATAGTAAATATTTATAGTAAAATGCACCGTAAATTCCATTACAGCATAGGATAAATTTAAGACTGGACGTTAAAAGCCAACCAATAGCAGGTAATCGAGTCAGACCCTTTGAATATGGTACCAAAGAACGAACGAAGAAAGCAAGGAGATATAATGAAATCACTGTGCGTGTTCTCAGACAAAGGTTAATTGATTGCAGAGTGAAACATCAGGATTTCATTATTAGTTAAACCAATTATATCTGTTCAATATATATAATATATATTCTTATAACGCATATGCATATCACAAAGAATCTGATATTTTATAAGTTGTGAAAAATTGATTTTGAAAAATATTATGTTTTTAAAGATTATTTTAGTATATGAATAATTATTTTCCTATATATTTATTATTAATATGCAGATACACATTTTAGATTCTAAGTGAGTCGATAATTACATTGATTTTACAATAGTGTGATATTTTTTATGTAAGTTGTATAGACAGTATAATTGATAAATGATTGACTTTGAGGGAAGTTTCTGATAGCAAATTGGATTTAACTGATTCTTTTGAATGGTAAAATTAAAAATTCTAAGTTTTTTTTCTAATTCTAATTAATTGGAAAAAAACGAAAAAATAAATAAATGAGGAGAAAAGAGAATTTTTACATTTTTATATATATATTTTTTTTTTATAACTAAAAATAAAATTACTGTGAACACTTGAAATCCTCACAAAATATTTATACCAATATTTTTTTATAAATAAATATAAATTTTAAAATATTTTAAACATTTTTGAGTGATCCATAAAAAAATTACATTTTGATTTTTTTTATGTATTAATATCTATAAACATCTTTTCTCTCAGAAAAAAATTATGAAAATTAAATATAAAAGTTTTTATAAGTTTCATTATTGTATTTACATAAATAAAAATAAGTATAAGTTTTCAAGTGTTTTAAGTTTAAATTTCGGCGAAATAAAATTTTCCCACGTACAATAACGATTTTCTTATTTTTTTTATAGTTCGAAAACAAATTTTTGAGGACTTGAACATTTTAACATATTATATTTATATTTTATACCGCACATTCAAAATTCAACGTCTATGGTTAAAATTAATTCAATTATTTCAATCTAAAATATTATTAATAATAAAATAAATTCATTATTATAATATAAATATGTATAACATAAAGTACATCTTGTAATATAGGCTTTCAGTCGACATGCTATCTTTACCTAGAATAGTTTTTCGTTTGTAATGATTGATCTTAAAATTAAAAATTAATTTACTACAGTAACTTACTCGATGTTATTATAAAGTAATATATAGCAGAACGACTATTTACATTTCTACTATTTTTTATCATGGAAAATATGACATTTTATATGATTTTATGATTTTGCCATGTTTTATATGATTATAATTCTTAGGTTTTTGTTCAAAATAATATTTAAATAATATAACATCATAGCCTATGAACTATGTATAGTATATACTGTGTACAGTGTACGCATTAATTGCTTAATTCAATTTTCCTTTACTATTTAAATGTAGCATTTTAATATTTCATTGTCTCGCTACCTTTATGGTATAATAAATTTTACACTAATAATGACACATTTAAATAAAGACTAAGTGTATTCATAGCTCTTTTGTTATATCATTAAATCAAATCCGTAATATAAAACTACAACATAAATTAGCTAGTACAATAAAACTGCTTTACTACGATGTATTAAATATTTATAAGTACCTATAATGTTGTGTGTAATGTATATTGTGCGTTCGTATCAGCTATACATTGTATAAAATAATTTTAACAGATTAATTATAAAATAACTTAAATAAATTCGAATCCTTCAAATTTAAGATCAGATACTTTGGTTTCCGGGAAAATAATCTCTCCATCGACGGTGAACGCGGTTATATATGTGGCTGTGGTGTCACCTTCTTCTAGTGTATTAATTGCAGTAATCACGCTGTGATTAGTTCCAGGAATAAATTTAAAACTAGCGTAACCGTGGTCAGGTACTAGGTTGCCAATGCGTACTACCTATAAACATAACATAAAATCATTAAATATGATAAAGTGGCACTATAAAAAGATTTTGTGTAACTGAAATACCTACACGACGTATATAAAATGATACCACGACTAAAATTCTTCAGGAAAAACTTTTGTTTTAAGATCAAATCAGTAATACCATTAAGCCAAAATAGGCTAAATGAATAATTTTCATTATTTTAATACACGATTTAAGTCGCTATCTCAAACCATTCATCGACCTGGTGTGATCCAAATTAGATATTTTTGACATTAATTTCACCATGAACAACGCGCGTTTATTTAATTTTGTTTCAGAATTGATAAAAATGTTATCGATATTTTTAAGCTGATTAAATTAGCTTTCAGAGAAATTTTGTTGTGACATTGTTTCAATTTTGAGTAGCACAAGCATTTTAAAGAAGGACAGATTTCAAAGTAAGAACGAAGATCAAATTTTAGTAGTTTTTATAATTACATTAATTATTGTAGGCGTATATAGGTAATGCAACCATTATAATCACATAATGTATTATTAAATACCTAAGTTAGGTTATTAATAAAAGCAATATAAAACAGTTAGGTATCAAATATGATAAAGAAAGTTGAAAAATCAATATCCAAACTATAAAAGTACCTAACCTAACTGTAGAAATCATTATGCGAATACACATATTCTATTACCAAAAACAAAAAAAAAAAAAACAGTGAAAGTTAAATGAAAATACTGATATTTCAAATGAAATTTGATGAAAACTCAACATCAAAACGTACGACTTAGTTTCCACATTGAATATAAATAGACAATACTTAATAGTAGGTATATAATTTCACTAGTTTTGATAAACTATGTAGTACAATTGTATGTTATTTTCTTTACCTTAATGTCATTAAAATCTGGTGTAGCAGACAATAATACGTTCGTTGCTTTCTTTTCGTCAATCAACGGGTCGAATGGATTTTCTGAAGCTTTTCTTGGCAAGAAGAACCATCGCTGATGTACGTCACTCCATTCAACTGCCTCGTGAGTCATGTATCCCGGGAAGTGTATATTGATGGCTGCCCGGACTTTGATGAAATTTTCTGTCCAATTCAAGTGCTTTATACTACCAAACTTGTCGATGGTCTTCACCCACATTAATCCAAGATCAGTGACTGTCTTTCCATCCTCCGTCACCATTTCTTTACCGTGTGAGCCCACGTAGAGTTTTGAACCCTTGACTGTAGCCCATTCGTTTTTCATTCCTACAATATTGTCGTAACGTGATATTATCATGTCATACTAAGTTTATTGATCAAACTAGAAATTAGAGAGTTTTTCTCTCTCTTTTTTAAATTTATATACTATTATGTAAGTAAAAAAAAAACTACAGCAAATACAATTGGCCTCTTAAATGAGCAATTTTTTAATAACACCTAATCCACCTATCCAATATATATATATATATATATATTATAAAATGTTAACAATTTGAAATGGTTATTTTTAAATGTATCAAATTTAATAGAATAAAACCTTCGACAAAAAATAAATAAAAATAAGCCATTTGACTGCTATAATGTGAATAAAATGTACGAAATTTATTGAAAGTTTCGAATTATTTTAATATTATTTTGTTAAACAATATATATTTATCTACGAGTATATAGAAATTATTTTATATTATATATGGTTACATGACATAAGCGCCAAAGGTACAAAAATGACCAATCATTTGCGCCAAAATTTGTATGACATAAGAGCTAATCTAATATTGTATACCTGTTTTACCCAACTTATGACATAAACGCCAAAAGTGCAAAAATGTTATATCATTTGCGTCAAAATTAATATTTTATATATTAAGTATAATTATTAAAAATTGCCATCTTATAAAAAATTATATTATATAATATATTATATTGAGAATATTGTCAATAATAAATTGTTAAAATATAATATACATACAAATAAATATAAATTTAATAAATCTATTGCAATTTTATAAAAAAATGTCAATAAATTATAAATTTTAAAAAATTGGTTGATTTTTAACCCCACCTTTTTTACATATTCGATACGATTTATTTTACCATTCTGGTATTTCTTCCATTGTAAAATTATTTCATGGTGAGATACCCTTAATTTATTGTTAGGAGGAGAGTTCATAAATAAATATGTTTCGCTTTGTAATTTTAATAATACATCAATTACTATATGTACGGAATAATGAGCCACATAGAATTGATATTTTAAATGTCGATGACATGAATCAGCTGCATTTGTAGTTCTTATAACGTCATTATCCGGAATTTTAGCCCAAATATTAGATGGAAATAAACTAGAATTAATGTATGTTTCTAAAAGGTAATTACTAAATTTGGAAATTGTTTGATCTTCAGGTGCAATGGACATTAAATCTGCAAAAGCATCAGATACTTCGGTGCGCGGAAGAAAAGCCAAACCAAAAACATACTTCAATCAAACCCTATTTCAGAGTTCTTCACGTATTCATTTCGATTTTCGAAGACCCAAGCTTTGAATTTTCCTGAAACCACGATTGCCCTAAATTAAATTTACAACAATTTTATTTTTGAATTTGGAAAAACTGCTAAAAATCTATCATGTGCTGCTTTTTCAAAATCAACTAAAAGTCTTTTTGGAGAAAATTCTAAATTATATTTTTCACACAATTTTTATGTATATTTCCACATTGATTCGTAGCAATTTGAACTTTTACTTGGTAGTAGACAGTAAATTAAATATATGTTATTTAATATCTATTAGCCATAGCACACAGGTACCTAGGATTTTGACGCTTTCATACGATATGATTTTGGCGCTTTTGTACGATACGACTTTTTTTTTCCTATCTAATTTTGGCGCTTATGTCTTCCACTGATATATAATATTAGATATGGATAATTACCTTTTGTTTTTCGTCCATTGCCATTAACAACCAATACCCAAGGTATCAAATTGTTGTCATCGATTACATAAACCAAACCAGTTTTATCGTCAAGTGTTATAAGATTACCATTATAGGTAACTAATTCTGATAGTTCTAAACCTCGACCACTCGTCGCTAAATTCGATTTGAATTGATTACCGTTATTCGTGGAATCCCATTCAATCGTGATATTTTTGGTAACTGAGTTATAAGTCAAATTCCCCTTTTTGAAATAGCTGATCCACGTAAAAGCCTTGTCTGGGCTCACTGAGTTGCCATCCAAGTCACTGATAATAGCTATGCGGTACTTAACACTGCCATCAGGTAACACTACTGGGTCGGTCAGTGGGTATTTGCTGTCTATGAGTTGTGTTATCAAATCGCAATTAGAATCTGTCAAAGTATTTGGGTCCGAGGTTGTTGGGGCACTGAACACAATATCGGTGGCTATTGCTACCAAAATCACTAAACTAGTTAGTTGAATAGACTGAAACAAATCATTAACAATTCTATTATATTGTATTATTAGCCAAATGAATATTTCTCCAAATACGAATAAACATATAAAATAAAATCAATGTTATAATATTAAATTGAATACGATAGCATAATACACTCATGCGTATGATAATGTATTTGCAAATCGGTATGATTCAAACAGAAATTAGACTTGATAATACAGCAACTAAAGGTATATAATAATATACTAATAAAAAAAAAAAATTTAATTGTAGGTGTATAATTTTGACCGGAACAATTATAAATTATTATTTTATTGTCAAAATAAAAATAACATAACGATATTACATTTTACTAATTTAATTAAAATTTAGTCAAAATTAGTTGCTGAACCTTTTAAATAGTTTTGCAAAATATTCATGCAATACAAAGTAGTATTAATACAAATAATACGATCATTATATGAAACCATATAACAATAATCGATATCAGATAACCGTTCTAATGCTCTGTAGATATCAAAGCACCTATATAGTAATTGATTTGGTTATTATGTATTTAAATTCAATGATAAATAATTTATTTTATTAATACCATAGGTTATATATAAATTAATAAATTACTTATAGTCTATAGTCAAACGGTAGATTTAATTAATTCTTACCGAAAACATCACATTTTTTATATTATTAATTATTATAGCATACATTTATGTAATACATTATTCTTATACCTTTTTGAGATAATTTTAAAATGCAACCTTATATTATTTTGAAATTTAATATAATTTGTAAAAAAATAAAGTTCCTATTTATAATATTTCCAAATAAAAAAAAAACTGAAATTGAAATTGAATCGTTATTTTTAATTTCAATCACAATTTTGTTTTAAATATAATTTTTTTAAATTTTTAGGTTTTAGTTATAATTAATTATGGGAACATTTTATTCTATTTTTAAGACTTAAATTAAATAATAGATCATTTTACATACTAATACAAAACCGTGACTATTTATTTTTTTATATTATTCAATTCCTGTAAATGTAACTTAAATAAAATTGTTTATTAAATTTTAAAACTTTTTAACAGAACCTACACTATTTGATCAACAATTTAAAAAAAATATGTATCATAATACATTAGAGTTCAATGATGTTAATATTTAATATTAAATACGAAAAACGATTCTGAGCGGAGACCGTTTGTATTTTTATGTTTTTTGATAATATACATATTAAAATCATTTATTTTATTTTTAGTTTTATGGTAGATTGATTTCATGTATTCTAAAACATTACATTTATTATATTACTAATATTTGATTTATTAAATAATTTAGGCGCGTATACAAAGGGGGGTTCTAGGGATTCAACTCTCCCCCTCCCCTGAATTTTCAGGAAATAATTTGTATTATTTATTAGTTTAGTTTTATTTAAGTAGTAACAATATCCGTCGAGTAAGCAGCAATGGTCCGTGAATGGAGAGTATGGCGTCTAACTCAAAAATAGGTGTTAATGGTATATGGCAGGCTAAAATGATGTTAGTAAACTGACCGTTTCATAAAAATAGGGGCTTTTTTTATAGTATTGACCCTTGGTACTTATTGACAGATTTGTTATGTTATTGTCGTTTATTATCAAAGGTACATAGGTAAAAGGTACGTGTTTTTATTAACGCACATTTTGTCATAAAGCTTATGGTATATATATATATATATATATATGTAAGTACAAGTAGATTTAGTAGTTATTTTTATATAATATTGAGGTACATAGGCACAGATATTTATTGTTTTGTTATTGTAAATATTGTATAACATTATATTATCGTATATATTGTATCTGAATAATTTGGATATGGCACATAGTTTAGAATAATATTCTAAAACAAATAATATTCTACACCTGTTTACTATATTATAGTAAACAGGTGTATAGTACATTTAATTGTTATGTTTTATGAATAGTGTGAATTTAGTATAATAATGATATTTAGATATGTAGCTATGTGGCGTAATAATATGAATATCATTACAATACTACAGAAAACGAAAGGTTATAGTTTCTTTCTTGGTTTTGTCATCAGAGGGATTATTCGACAGTGACAATCAGACATAGGTTTCTATTTAAATAACAATACAATTGATGACGTTAAAAACTATAAATTGTTAAAGCACTCGTGGATTCCACCTAATAATTATGAGTTTCCTATTTTTCAAAACCGACGTTTAAAATTTCAAACTAATTAGTTTAGGCGCTATATGTGTGGTATATTATTAAATAATATATATTTATAACATATTATATTATTATGTTATTAATTTTTCAGTTGATAACACCTTACTAAAATGATCATAAAATAGCGTGAATAGGTTATAGTATAAATAAATATCATAAAATAAATATAAAAATTTTGAAAATTGCATTATAAAATACGTACAAGTTTTAAGTTCTCATTAATATTTTATTTTGATTAATAACAAAAAATAAAATTATTTATCATTAAATATATAATTTCAAACTTTTAGTTAATAATTATTGTGTTTTTATATTTTTTAGTTTCAGTATAAACTATTTATAAAGAAAATACTATTTTATTTTTAAAATTTTAACGATAAAAACTAAATATTTTATACATTGTATTCTACAAAATACTTATAATTTATACATTTTTTTTGATAAAAATTTAAAGTCAGATATATATATATAAAGTTTATGTTGTTTAATAATTTGTACAGATATAACAACAACTAATGTGAAATTTTGAATTACATTTTTAAGAATTTTGACTCAGTAAATAAGTATTATACACATTTAAAAAAAACAATTTTCTTAGAAAAAAAAATCAAAAATTTAAAACTATAATAAAAAGCTTAAAAATAATCAAAATGATTAGAAAATAAAATTGTACTATTTATGAAAAATGTATAAAAAAAAATAGTATGAATATTTTATAACAATTTAAAGTACCTACTTATGTACGGTTATTTGTTTGAAAAAAAATCGTTTTAAAGAGAAATGTTCTACATTAATATATTATACGAATGGTTTTTAATGTAGTATGAATTTGAACTTCAAACAGTCTTGAAAAAATGTTTTAAACTTAAGCCCGGCGATTAGGCTCATTAGCTGTTTTAAGGGTTATGAATTGCGGGTAGGGGTAAAATTGATACGGTAGGTTGTTTTTACGATTGTTACCGGTTATTACGGTTGATAGCAAACACGTGTGTGTGAGGCAAGGTTTTTAACCATTATCAACCCGGGTGGTCACCCATCCGAGAGCTAGTAGCTGTGGCCGTTACTTACACTCAGTCGCATTCCGCGACTGGTAGGAGCCAATGCGCCACGCCAAGCCACTTTAAAATTTTTATTTGTAGTGAAATTAATAAGAAATCACGTATTAATTTTTTAAATCTTAAATAAAAAAAAAAAAATTTTTTTTAAATAAATTTTTAAATTTTCAAAATTTTGACAAATATTCAAATGTTTCAACATTTTTTAATTGACAAATAAACATCTTTTAAATGTACATGTTAAATATTCTAGAAATATTACCTTTTCATAAATTTAAATAAAAATAAATTAATAAATTGAAAATTTCAATTGTTTATAATATCTATAATAATTGCCATTTAAAAGGAAGTCGCATCCGTATGTGTTGTCTCTGTCTTACACACGTACGACATGGTAAATTATCGTTCACCAGTTTCAAAAGCTTGCTTTTAGTTTTTATGTTATAGTGAACTTACATATATTAAACTTTTAGGTTATAATATTATAATATTATCTGTGTTCTCTTGTTAGTTTTTTACGATATTTTAATTTTTAAGTGAATTATGAGCATTTTCAAATATTTATATTTTTCATAGTCATAATTCATCTAAAAATTAAAATATCCTAAAAACTAACAAGAGAACACAGATAATATTCTTACCTAAAAGTTTGATAATTGGTCAATTCACTTTAACATCAAAACTAAAAGCACACTATTGAAACTGGTGAACGAAAATTTATCATGTCTTACAGGTATATGATGGAGACAACACATGAGTGTGCAACGTCCTCTTAAATATTTAAAAAATTATATCATGGTATGTACAGAAAACAAAGATAGTAACACTTGATAAAAAATTGTATACAGACTACTGAGTTCAAATGTGTACATTTCTATTATACCAAGTTATTAAAGTAATTTATAAAAACATGCATCATTTTAATTCTTACCATTTTTGTTTTCGACGAATTTATTGTAAGTATTTTAGGTGTAACACAATCTTAAAATGAGAACTTCATTCAAATAAAAACATTGTTAAATAGTTACTTTTTTCCAATTAGTATATAAGTAGATATTATTGCATGTATTAAAACAAAACAGTTAAAAAAAATGGTAGGATTCTAGATAAAATATTATCAATACATTTGATAAGAAAATTTACAAAGGTTATTTTTAATTGATTGTAATTAATGATACAATATTTAGATTAATGTAGATTACTATTAATTAAAAATGAATTTGTGAAATTTAGGTTTTATTAAATTAATATACATCTATATATCAAATTGTATTGTATATACTTATCAATATAAATATTTACACACACACACACATACACACACACGCATATATATTATATTATGATGACCACAATAAGTATAAATTATATTATAATAAAATAAATTATAATTTTTTTTATACGTTATATAAAATAATCGGCTGATGGCAAACATATTCATAATATTTAACATAGTCATTCAGCATTTTTATGTTTATTAAACGTATCATAAATGATCTTGAGTGTAATTTTAATAATATTTACCTGACTGGACGCGAATTTTGAAATAGATAGGTACTCACGAATGTGAACGTGTTAAAAATCTAATAATTTACAGTAACTGATAACAATATCAAATATTATTAACTAAAATAATACGATAAAAATAAAATCCGATAGTCGCTCTTTTGAATATTAAGTGTTGAGTGTCCTTTATGATTTAATTATTTATCAATATATAGGTTATTATAATCGTAATGAATATGTTAAGTTTAAGCTTTAAGCTCAATGGTATATCATTCAATACGAAAAAGGATTCTATGAACAGAGGTTATTTAACAATGAATCAGCTTATACTCTTAGGAATATTATGTATTATTATATATTATAGTATTGTATACTTATAATAATGCTTTAAATAATTTATTTTTAAATTGGTAATCAAGGTAAGTTTAATTAGTTTTTGACAAATACAAATCGTTTAGATTATATAATAATTATTGCAATATTATCCATATGGCGTATAATATAAGTTATTATAAATATAAAATAAATTAAATTTAAAAAATCTTTTAAATCTCCTATTCTCAAATCAGATAACAAAAATAATGTCAGAAACTACAGACCAATCTCTAAATTATCAATTATACTAAACGTTTTTTAAGCTATTATTTTTAAAAAAAAATTCAAATGTATTATCTAATAGTATTTGTCTCAGCATGGTTTTTTACCTAAGCACTCAATTTATACTAATTTATTAGTTTATAGAAATGTTCTTATAAACAGCTTTGATCAAGGTTATCAGGTGGATGTAATATATATTGATTTTAAAAAGGCGTTTTATAAAGTTAATCACTCTTTATTATTTTTAAAGTTGAAATTTTTGGATTTGATGGAAACTTTCTAATTTGGTTATCTTCTTATTTTTGTAATAGATATTAAGTAAATAAAATTTCTTTTCATTATTCCAATGAATATTTAGTTACCTCGTGAGTTCCACAGGAATCTCATTTGGGACCACTTCTTTTCCTTATTTTTACTAACGATCTTCCTCTTATTTTAAATAGTTCAGTGAACATTTTGATGTTTACTGATGATGTTAAAATTTACTGTTAAATCAAAAATGTTATTGAACAAAATTTTTTTGCAATCTAATATAAATAAACTTGTATTATTGAGTAAAAAAAACTATCTATATTTAAGCTATGATAAATGTAGAATTATAACTTTTTTGCGCAGTAAAAGTCCTGTTTTTCATAATTATCTTATTGATAACTACCCTCTTGAAAGATGTTCGTCTATTATAAATTTAGGTATTTGTTTTGAATTTGATCTATCTTTCAAAATAAAATCATAAAATTATCATAAATAAGGCATATCAAATATTGGGATTTATTACTAGAAATATTAAGAACTTTAGGAATCTTATGTGTTAAAAAAAAATGTGTACTTCTTTAGTTAGATCAAACCTAGAATTTGGCTCTTTAATTTGGTCTAATAACTATTCAACTTACTTACTTACTCAAATGAGCTAAATAATATTCAGTATAAATTTCGGAAAAGAGTTGCTTTTATTACTCATTGTACAATCTTCAGAGACTCTATCTTTTTGGTGCAAGATTTTATAGGACTCTCTTAACATCAGGCATGATTTAATAGATTAATGTTTGTCTATGATGTTTTAAATAAGAATATAAACTGACCAGCTATTTTAAGTTTATTTGGATTTAGAATCCCTAGTTGGTATACATGAAATTCTGGTTTGTTCCATATACCTAATTTTAATACAAATAGTGAAAAAAATTAATTTTTTTCAAGAGCCATTTTTAACGCCAATAGAATCTCAACAGTCTTGGATTTTTTCGTTTTGTCTCATCAAGTATTTAATACTAAAACTTGTTGGTTTTAAAACATAGAGCTTAATTATTTATTTTTTAGTGTTGTCTTTTAGGCTAAAATTTTTCTCTTTTTATTTTTTATTTTTTTGCTATTTTTATTTTTTTTATTATCACATGTCTAGCAGTTTTCATATTATGTCAATTAATATGTAATGTTTTTTTCTTTCTTTGTTATAAAGCCTTGTCCCGTTAATTTTATGTAATTAAATAAATACATAACTTATTAATTTGTTATTCAATGCCATACCAAAGTACCGTAAAATGGTGTTAATAGGTTTACAGTATAAATAGTTTAAAATTAATTAACATATTTTGACTGTGATATTGTTGTATATAATAAATAATAACATAATATGTGATAGTACATAGTTTCAAGTCCTTAAAAACAATATTTTTGAAGTAAAACAAAATAGCTAATTTTTTTTTATTGTTCTATTACTATCCAATTTTGTTAAAATTCAAACTTGAAAATGTTACAAAAACAAATTGTGTTTATTTTCATTTGATATTTCTAGTTTTTTGATTGAAAATTACAAGATTTTATCAATATGTCAACATACATAAAAAAAATATTATTATTTTAAACTTAAAATATTCAAAGCTTATAAATAGTTTAAAATTAGTCAACACATTTTTAAAATATCATTAAGCACAGGAAAAGTATTTAAAAGAACAATGTTTTAAATTTTATATTTTATTATAAAACTGTTTCTATTAAAATACATAAATAAGTTAATGTTCTTAACTAAATATTAATTATCATAAACAAGTGAAGATGCTGATAACTAATGTTACCTATATAGTAGGTATATTTTTTTAGTCAAGGTGTTATGTATTGATGACCTTTGTTAATCTATGATGTACTAATTCTAACTAATTATGTGTTAAATATAAATATGAACATCCTATTAGATTAATAATTTTGCCACAGATTATTATTATTAGTATTCCATCTCGTTTTTCATGATAAAGTATTTACTTAAAATATTTTTACGTTTTCTGAAATATTCTAAGTATGCAACATTATGAATTCATTTTTATTTAATTTATTTTTATTAATTTATCATATTTTTCTCTTTTTTAGGGAATATTTTTAAGTTTTTTATTGCATACATATTTTATAACTTTTTATCGCAATAAAGTTACAGCCATGATTATAATGAATTAGAAAATATTAATTCATAATAAAATTTTAAAAATTAATTCTAAAATAAAATGTTTATTTACGGTTATTGAAAATTATACCAACATTTTTTTACTAAGAAAAGATAAATTAATTTGTATAATGTTTTTCTACTCAAAAAATATGAAAATTATAATTACTAACTAAAATTATAAGAAAAATATATTCTTTGATTTTTTTCTTTTTAGTGTTTAGAATTGTATAAAATTCATTATGCCCGTGTTTAAGTTTTTCATTGTTCTTATACGCTAATAGGCAATAAATTATGTACAAATAATGAATAATGTAATAATAATAGCAAAAAAAAAAATCATAGAAAAATTTATCGAGGATATTCATAAAAATATTTGATTTGTTGTTTTGCTATTTGTATGTGGTATGTTATGCCATCATGTAAGATATCGATACTAAATACTGCTCTGAAATACACATTTTTATTCATATAAAAAAAGAAAAAAATATGTAATTAATATAATATGTTTAGCTTTAACCTTTCGAGTCTGGCTTCAAAAATGGTGAAATGGGACTACGGCTAATATTCACTAAACTCGTTGTACGCAATATCGTCATTGACTCTTATACTACCTAACTTTTCCAATGAGTTACCATTTAATACTTGGTGTATTTATATAATATACATGCTTTACCTACTCATAATTTTAAACTACTTTATTTATAACCCCGTGGATTCAATATCCGGTTAAAGGTTTCCATTAATCACTTAAGATCAAAAGAGCGTTTCAAATAAAATAACATAAATGTTTCAATGTTTATCTTTTAAATTGATTAAATAATCAACATAAGTCATCCATCCGCAATAAAATTATAACATTTCTTTATATAATCATATATACGTAGTTCGATTTTAAATCAAAGGTCTTGGAGAAACTATATTATTATTATGTACACCGGTAGAGCCTTTAATAGAGTTACCTATTGCTTGGGGTGATGTGATTAATGGACCATCTAATTAGCCATTCCGATTTTACTCAACAGTAGCGCAGATTAAATTACTCGCATACGTCTATAGAGACTTTCTCATCTAGAGTGTAATTGAATTTGGTTGACCGAAAGGTCCACTTCAAAGGATCATCATATTAAACTAAAGATATATATTATTATTATTATATTGTTATTTAGCGAAACTCTTTATCTTAAGTGATCCCTTCAGAATATTAATTTAGTAAATAAATTATAATTTTTAATTTAACCCACATACTTATATTTTCGTTTCCTGATTCAACAAAAACAGCTTGACTCAAATGCATATACACCACTATAATACTTTTTTAATATTCTAAAATTTAAAAAACGAAAATTGTAATCACATTTAAAAAAAAAAAAAAAAAGGGAAAACTATAGTATTTAAGTACATGAATTTTAAGATAGAACTACTCAACATATATAATTAATGAAAAACGACTTTAAATAATTATTAAATTAAAGATATAAATTCAATAAAAAAAAAAAATTAAAAAATA